TTTAAATTATATATATATATATATATATATATATATATATATATATATATATATATATATATATTTGTATTTCTAACTATTGTATTTTAAATTAAAATTTTTAAGATATCTTCTTAAATAAATAAATACCTCCTGGTACATTGCTTTACTTTGCATTAAAGAAATACTAATTTAGATCTAATTGCATGAACTTACTTTAAAAATACTACGGTCTAATCTTTCATATTAGCAGTGTTTGCAAAGTCAGGCATCACTATTAATATTGCTGTTTTTAATATCTCTGCTAAATAAAATAAAAAAAATACAACAACAACAGGTATATTGCTTTACTTTGCATAAAAGAAACACAAATTTAAATCTAATTGCATGAACTTCTTTTTGTAGTACTACCATCTAATGTTTCTCATTAGTGGTAGGGATGGGCGTATCGATCCAAAGTATCGATATATCGATACTGACGCGAGTATCGAAAGTATCGATACTCAAACAAAAAATATTGATACTAACATGTGTTTTATTTACCAGTGATTTTGTTAATTTAACAAAAATATAATGCGTACAATATGCATTGAATTGGACGAATAACCTTTGTTAGCGAGTAATTGTGTAGGATAGAAATATTTTCCTGCTCATCTGAACACGCAAATGTTGCAAGACAGAACTAATCAATCACAAAGAGAATTCACTCACTGCTGACAGTGCATTCAAACAGGGCTGCGTTTCCCAAAAGTATCATAAGAAAGCATTAAAGCTTTTGGGAACGGCAGCCCTGAACAATGCTTATCAGAGGACAGAAGGACAGAGTTATTTCACAATAAACAAACTGAAATTGTAGCCTACATAGTTTGTGCAATTACAGTTATTTAAATTGAACGTTGAAATATATAAGGCGTATTGAATGTTAAAATGCGTTTTAAACAAAGTTAAGTGCTTATTATTACCCATTTTACTCTTAGTAATTTAATAATTTAATACATTTCATCATTTAAAAGTTTAGTGCAGAAGTATCGAATCGGTATCGATATCGACGATACTGCCTTGAAAAATATCGGTATCGTATCGAAAACAAAATAAGTGGTATCGGCCATCCCTAATTAGTGGTGTTCGTAAAGTCAAGCATCACTATTAATACTGCTTTATGCTTAATTTTTTTTCTCAAATAGTTTTCCATTTTTGTTGATAATTCATTGGATTGCCACTAACTTTAAAATACTACATATAGGCAATTTGACATGTTTTGGATGAAGATATGAAGTTTCATCAATATCAAGCCTTTTTGCTTGTAACTTCTCCAAAGTATTAATGTGAAAGTCATTATACACGTAAGATTTGACTCACCTGTATATAAATCTACTCGTATGCAAAAATACATATTTATGCATGTCCGCTAAAGCTGCTTAATTAAGGAGTTATTAACAATGTAATCAACTGACTTGCAAATAGTTTAAAAGCTGTAAAAGACTGCACATATGCATGCATGTAGCTTATCAATTTTGCATGATCTCTTTAATTCCTCTTCTAACTACACACCAGCTAATGAAACAAGCACTAAACTAACTGTCAGATCATATACCGTGAAACTAACCTGACACTATAACAAGCTCATTACTAACCAGATATAATGCCTCAAATGCAAAAATGAAAAGCATGACAAAAGTCTCTGAATAACCTACATGCATTCAGAATGTTTTTGTGCATATTTCTACAATCAAATTGCACAATTTTGTTTTTATTTACAATATTTGTCCATATCAAGGGTATGAAACTGATTAAACAGAGATGAAAAGTATAAGCTTTTGTGTGCTCTCTGCATTGTTGAAAATCCCTTGTAAATATCTTTGAAGCGTTCGCAAGTATGTGCATGGTCCGCTTATCTGAGGTCTTGCTTGCTTATGGTGGTTTATGACAACAAGGATAAGCACGCAAGATGTCCAGGTATCCTTCCTTACTCGGATTACAATGGAGATAGTGTGCTATAAATAACACAAAACTAGATCTAAACGGAGCAATGCTGTCATTTCAATGTGCAAACAGTTAAACAACACTGCACTGCAGCTCACCGCATAATCTCCGCAACGGCACAAACTGAAATATCTGACTTTCGTTAATGCAGACAAGACCTTGTGTGATTGATCAGACCCAAAATACGATGCATTAGCAATCAATAAAAACATTTGCACTACCGACTGAAAGTCAAAGCTTTGTTTTCATTCACCAGACCAATTATTCATTAATCCATCAACGTCTAGATGGAAGCATCTGAACTCAATGATTTCACTGGTCTAATAAAGTGGTTGAATTATAAATTATGCTAATATCATTCATTATCAGCACATAATCAATTATACGCCAAGCTGAAGACAGGTCTAGACACTTAACACCCTCAAATTCCCAAATATGCAGCGCTGTAATCCATAGGATCAGGGTGCCGGTGCAAAGGGGCTATCAATATCCCTGCTGGAATAACTGTGTTGCTCAGCCACCCAGCCATAAGCTGAGAGGTGTCAAAGCCAATCAGTACAGGCCAAAAGACGGATTCTCGCCACCGCTGACGGAGTGACGGATGGTGAGGAGAAGTGAAAGACATCGGTATCGGGATTTTCAGGCACTTTGCAAAGGATTGTATTGGAATATGTATGAGACGTTTGAGTTGCTGTGTGTGGCCTGACTGAAAGGAGACTGCTGATTCAATAATGAAGGTCTATTTTTACCAGCGAACTCGGCAGGAATGGCGCTGATGGAGGACGACAAGAAGCTCTGGATCGAATGACCAATCCTGAATGAGCTGCACAAAACTGCATCGCTGCAATTGATGGAGGAACCAGATTTAGACATTTGAGATGCAATAAAAGACATAGGAGAAAAAAAGTTAGAGAAATGTAAAAAAGGTCTATGGCTAATGTTCAAAGCATGCATGTATGCATCAATATGCCATACATACAGTCTTGTGTGGTATTTAATAAAGTTTAATTTACTGCCTTTTATGTCCTGAAATAAAATAATGGTTTACCAACACCACATGAATCTGAACTGAATTCTAAATGTAGCACAATCTTATAAAGTTATGGTCACACTGACATTATATATACAGCTCTGGAAAAAAAATTAAGAGACCACTCCAATCTCCAATCATCATCTCTACATGTATGGCAGCCATTCCATTCCAGTGTCTGTTGAATTCCGACACAGGCAAACCTCATTCTGCTTAATGAAGAAGACCCCTGCTGTGGTCATCACTATCCTCTTGTAATAAGACCAGCTGGATGGCAAAAACAGTGCTAGTAGTACCTCAAAAGTAAGTGGAATCAAATAATAACTATTGACCATGCCAGATGTGAAATGTTTTGAGTGAGGAAAACCGCCAACTCATTGAAATGTCACTCAACAACCCTAGGATGACATCAAGTGACCTACATAAAGAGCGGAAAACTGCAGCTGGGGTGAAGTGCACAGGACGTTCGAAACAGGCTCCTAGAGGCAGGGCAAAGCTAGAAAAAAAAGCCCTTCATCAGTGAGAAGCAAAGAAGAGCCAGGCTAAGGTCTGCAAAATAAATAAATAAAAAAACATAAGGATTGGACCGTTGAGGACTGGAGTAAGGTCATCTTCTCTGATGAGTCAGATTTTCAGCTTTGCCCAACACCTGGTTGTCTAATGGTTAGACGGAGACCTGGAGAGGCCAGTGATTAGCGGAGGATCAGTGATGAATTGGGCACATTCATCTTTGTGAAGGGAGCATGAATCAAGCCACATTCTAGGTTGTCCTGGAAGAAAACTTGCTTCATTCTGCTCTGACAATTTTCCCCAACTCTGAGGATTGGTTTTTCCAGCAGGACAATGCTCCATGCCACA